GCTAAGACGCAGATATCTCTCGAACATCATTCAGCTTATCCAAATTGTTTAAAATAATGTTTCACGCCCAGTGTGTCTTTCATCACCGACGCTGCAAATTTGTACGCTGAACGCCTTTTTCACCGAAACACATGTACATTTGACCAAGCACTCGACTACGAAACAAGAGTTTTGGTCGCCGACAATACACGTTTTACAGAAATATTCATCTTATATTGCATCACAACATACCGCAGCTGGTATACCATTATCCGCTTTTTTTCCACCTGACTCTAACAGCTCAATTCCAGCGGACAAATATTGGATACTTCAAATAACGTGCAAATTCAACCGTTTAGCTTGCCAGCTCCGTCGTCCGACGCCTTTGTCCTTTTAACATTCTGGATAAAATGCGAAAAGTCAATTGCATGATAAAGTGAAATGCGTTTTGGTGGACTCACCATCTACCTTTGTAGAAGAGTGGAGATCTTCACGTATTAAAAGTATAAATCCATAAACCTATTGATTTGGAATTACTTAAGACACCGTTTGATTACGTTTGATAGCCGCTGGCTAACAAGTCATAAAATGAAATGGAAATAAGACAATGCATCGTCAACTTGTTATTTAAATATCGCCAGATTGAGAGCAGGGAGGATATAATTAGGGAGGGCATTCCAAGTTTGGCACACGCGGAGAGAAAAGAAAATTCTACGGCATTCAATTCGGCTATACAGTATCATCGATTTCAGAGGATGACCTCTTAGGTTAGTGTTGTGGTTCAATTCCAGCAGCAAGAGGCAAATGTGCTTTGGGTTCTTCGGCATCTGTTAAACCATTATGAGATGCCCGCAAAAGCCGATATCGAATGCTGTACATTCTTAGACATTTCAGTCTAAGCTGATAGGGCAGATGAAGTAGGTCTCTGACCTTCTTGGTTGCATTTCGTTGAGAAGTTTCGAGAGCAACGAGATCCTGTTTCTCCCGCGGCTGCCACGTCTGGATAGCATATTTCACGTGCGGTCGCAAGTAGGCCTTCAGCATTTGTGAGAAGATTGAGGATTCAGACCGATCGAAGAGTCTGCGAAGCAGGCCGAAGTGTTGCTTGCCGGTTGTCGTCGCCTTCTCTGTTTGTTTTGAACATCCGAGATCTTCCTTTACCATTACACCCAGGTCACGCTCCTAAGAGGATTTCTGCAAGGTGTGGTCTCCAAGCTTGTAAGCGCTCACCGGCTAGTGATGCAGATGCATCATCTTTCATTTAGCTATGTTAAACTGAAGCAGGTTCTTCTTTGATCAACCATAAATGCAATCTTGGTCACGTTGAAGCAGATCATGATCTAGATTGTTACTAAGCGCCTGCCATATATTGACGTCATCGACGAAAAGCAGGAGATTTGAGAAGATAACTCTTGCCAGCTCGTTGATAAACACTAGGAATAAGCGCGGTCCCAAGCAACGAGCTTTGTGGGACACCACATTCCGCCTCAGTCGGGTTAGAGAGTGATTCCCTAACGCGTACTTGAAGCTTCCGTTGGTGAAGAAAGTTGCCAATCCAACCAAGCACAGGATCTCCGATTCCGTAGCTCTGTAGCCGATGAAGTGGGATGCGGTGATCCCGCCGGTGGAAAGCTTTGGAAAAGTCTAGATAAATGAGGTCAACTCCGAACTTATCATCAGCCACTTGCG